GGCAAGGTGAGGCACGGCGAGGCCAGGGGAGCAAGGCGAGTCACGGCGACGCAAGACGAGGCAAGGCCAAGCAAGGCGAGGGAAGGCGCGCAAGGCGTGGCAAGGTGAGGCCAGGCGAATTCAGGCGAAGCCAGGCAAGACGAGGCAAGTTGAGGCACGGCGAGGCAAAGGGTGGCAAGGAGAGACAAGGAGAGGCAAGGTGAGGCCATGCGAGGCATGGCGAGCAAAGCGAGGCCAGTTGATGCCAGGCGAGGCAAGGCGTGGCAAGGCGAGGCAAGCCGAGCAAGGCCATTCAAGGCGAGGCTAATTCAGGCGAGGCAAGACGAGGAAAGGCGAGGCCAGGCGTATTCAGGCGAAGCCAGGTAAGGCCAGGCAAGGCGAGGCAAGTTGAGGCACGGCGAGGCAGAGCCAGGCAAAGGGTGGCAAGGAGAGACAAGGCGAGACATAGTGAGGCAAGGAGAGGCCATGCGAGGCATGGCGAGCAAGGCGAGGCCATTTGATGCCAGCCGAGCAAGGCGATTCAAGGCGAGGCAAGGTGACAAGGTGAGGCCAGGCAAGGCGAGACAGAGCCAGGCAAAGGGTGGCAAGGAGAGACAAGGCGAGACATAGTGAGGCAAGGAGAGGCCATGCGAGGCATGGCGAGGCCAGTTGATGCCAGGCGAGGCAAGCCGAGGGAAGGTGAGGCCAATTCAGGCGAGGCAAGGCGAGGCCAGGAGAGCAAGGCGAGGGAAGGCGCGGCGAAGTTATGAGAGGCCAAGCGAGGCTAGGCAAGGCCTGGTAAGGCGAGGCAAGGACAGGGAAGCCCAGGAAAGGCCAGGCGATGCGAGGCAAGCTAAGGCAAGGCCTGGGAAAGCGAAGCAAGGCTACGCAAAGCCAGGCAAGGAAAGGCAAGGCCAGGCAAAGTTAGGCAAGGCCAGGAATGGCCCGGCAAATGCGAGGCGAAGCCATGCGAGGCCAGCCAAGGCCAGGAAAAAACTGGCAAGTCCAGCAAAGTTCAGGCAAGGCCACGCAAGGTGAGACAAGGCCAGGTATGGCACGCAAGGCGAGGCCAGGCAATGCAAGGCGTGGCAAGGCGAGGTAAGGCTAAGCCAGGCAACGCAATGCGAGGCAAGGCGAAGTGAGGTCAGGCAAAGCCAGGCAACGCAACGCAACGCAATTCGAGGCCAGGCAAAGACAGCCAACGCAAGGCGAGGCATGGTGGGGAAAGGCGAGGTCAGGCAACGCAACGCAAGCCGATGCAACGCTAGGTAAGCCTAGGTCAGGCAACGCAAGGCGATTAATGGCCAGGCAATGCGAGGAAAATTGAGGCAAGGCGAGGCAAGTCCAAGCAAGGCCAAGCAACGCAAAGCAAGGCGATGCAAGGCGTGGCAACGCAAGGCGATGCAAGGCCAGGAAAGGTGACGAAAGTCGAGGCAATGGAAGGCCAGAGAAGGCCAGGCAAGGCGAGGCCTTCCCTTGCCTTCTGGTCAGAGTCTCTGCTGGTCGGAGTCTGATATACGTGTTGTCTGCCGCATTTGGTCTCGTCAGAGACTGCATGCCAGAGCCGTGTCATAGAGAGACCGGTCCGTGCAGAGACCGAGTCAGGTACAGACCGCATTCGTCAGAGACACAGTACATGAGAAACAGTCCGACACAGACGTGTTCTGCAAGGCATAGGTGGGGGAATTTTGAAAATTTCAACTTTCAAAAGATCAAAAAATGCTGTGAATTGTCCAAAAAGCGCATAAAACTAAAAAATTTGAAAAATTTCACTATCAAAATTTTCAAAAATTATAGGTTTTGTACGCTTTTCAGCCAATTTCCAGCAATTTTTGATTTTTCGAAAATTTTGAAATATTTGAATATTTTTCCTAAAATTTCCAAAAAAGATGCCTGCCGGACTTGGGCTCTGCCTCACCCGGTTACAGCGTGCGTCGGTGTCTGCTCCAACCAACCTCTGCTGTTTGGAGTCTGCCGCACCTGGGCGCCTCAGAGACGGCGCGTCAGAGCCGTCATACAGAGAGCGGTCCGTGCAGAGACCGAGTCTGGCACAGATCGCGTTCTTCAGAGACAGTACTTTAGAAACAGTCCGACAGAGATCGGTTCTGCAGGGCATCAGGTGGGGGGAATTTTGAAAATTTTCAAAAAATCAAAAAATGCTGTAAATTGTCCAAAAAGCGCATAAAACTAAAAAATTTGAAAAACTTCACTTTCAAAATGTTTTCAAAAATTATAGGTTTTGTACGTTTTCCAGCATTTTATTTTTCAAAAATTTTGAAAAATTTGTATAATTTTTCTAAAATCTCCCCAAGAGATGCCTGCCAATCTCGGTGAATTCCTCTCCCTATCTATGCCGGACTCGGCCACTGCCTCAACGGGTTGCAGCGTGCCTCGGTGTCTGCTCCAACCAACCTCTGTTAGTCGGAGTCTGCTGTTCCGAGCCTTGCAGAACCGGTCTCTGTGGGACTGTTTCTGATGTACTGTGTCTCAGACGAATGCGGTCTGTGCATGTCTCGGTGTCTGCACGGACCGGTCTCTCTATGACACGGCTCTGGCATGCAGACTCTGACGAGCCCAAGTGCGGCAAACAACACGTAAGGCAGACTCTGACCAGCAGATACCGAGTCCTGCAGAGGCCAGTTGGTGCAGACACGGACGCAGGCAGCAACGGGGTGTGATAGCAGCCGAGTCCGGCATAGACAGAGAGAGGACGTACGCGTTCTCAGCACTAAACTTCCTCTGCATCCCTCTATATATGCCAGGCCATCTGTACACAGATCTGTTTCGCCAGACCTGGTGAGGCACGAGTCCTTCCTTTCTCGACTGAAGGCGGCTTCATATCGGTTTAAACGAATAAGGCAAACTGATCCAATACTTTTACTTTAATAAAGTCTGTACTCTATGAAGGCAGTGACGACGACAAAGATGGCAGGATGTCATACAACATTCTTCCAAGTCATCCTCTCCGTTAACTGTACTATCAGCAGATGAGGCAAAAATGACACTGGATTTTAAACATGTTAAAGTACGTTTACAATATAATACACTTTATTAGTAAAAAATACAAAATGCAACACCTCACGTTAATACGTTTGTCAAAGCAGCTCTAACGAGCAGTATTAACATCTCGTAAGGTATGTCGTCACCATAAACGCACGTCGGCAATTTTAAAAGTACGTCAACTATAATATATTAAATATCAATTTGGCCAGGACGGCCCGATATTTCACTCTACAACATCAGTAGTGCGGGACAAACATCGCACTTCACACGTGGCGTCGAACACAATAAATACTGCATCTATACATGGTACAGGGCAGCCACCTTAAACATATATACACAAATCAGTTATGCGTCTACATTTATAAGAAACGCTAAAGACAAAAATCTAATTAAATATTTTTATAAACCAATAAGAAAAATGACGTAAAAGATGATTCATTCCTCACGTTACACGAACATGCCTGGTGACATGCGAGCCGCAACATAATCTAAATACGTAGTTCTCCTCCTGTAGCACGTGGACCACTGAAATACGTCAAGACTAACCCAAAACTTTGAGACGTATTTATTTCCGCACGACTTCTAGCGTGAAAGTGGAAGACTGTCAGAATAAAGCTGAATTACGGACTGTTCGGCAAATTGGCTTAGTGACGTCTTCCTGCTTCGCTCAGATCCATATTTCGTGCGGAGTACTAACGTCTATGAAAATTAAATGACAAGTTCATAAGTGAATACACAACGGAAGGAAGGCGACTTGTGCGAAATAGTGAATTGTTCTCTTTATATTAAATTCACTGAGTAATCATACGAAAATATATAACGAGATTCTGAAAGACTGAACGGACCGTGTTATGTAAGAGGAGGAAAAGAATTTCAGACTTTAGCCTAAGGAGGATGGGAACACCCGTCCTAAAATAAAACTGATCTCTAGACGTGAGAGTTACCTTGCTTACAATTTAGTGTCACGTAAATACGTTGAGTATTAATTCTAGTCATTAACTGTTCGTATTATTTGTTACAATTTAATCGTTAGTTCCTCTTGGTCCGTTTCCAAATCCTGCGCTGAATTGTTTTCCTTAGCTTGGTTTGGAGCGAGGCAGTTCTTGTCCTCGTCAGTGGGCGAAACTGGGGATGTAGGAGACATAGAAGAGTCCAGAGACGCTGACGTCACGGAGCTGTTTGATCTTTCGACGTGCCAGTGGTTGCCACTGCCATCAGTGTCTTCAGATCCCAACGAGATATCTGCTATAATTCCACTTTCTGAAATTAAAACGTAAATGACGATTGCTAACGCTGACAAATAATTACGCGCGCTAGTCGCCAAATAGAATTCACGAATTTTGCATCAACAAAACCCAAAACCTAATCCAAACACGATAAAAGATGCTACTGAGGTCAGGCTCCACCAGAAACACTTTTAACGTTTCCGTCCTGGTGTCTGGTGACTATCGCGCTCAAGCACGGCTAAGCTAAGCGACGACTTGACCCCCCCCCCCCCCCCCTCCCCCTCCCCCCCTCCCCCTCTCCCCTCCTCTCTCTCTCCCCTCCTCTCTCTCTCCCCTCCTCTCTCTCTCCCCTCCTCTCTCTCTCCCCTCCTATCTCTCTCCCCTCCTCTCTCTCTCTCCTCTCTCTCTCTCTCACACACACCCAAATACTTTCTTTAGAAAGTGAACCACTTAATTTGCTATCTGAAAGTGGTTTGTTATATGGTACATATTCACCGACGTTTTAGAGGAGATTACTGCCTCCGTTATCAGGGATATGGAGGCCGTAACCTCCTCTGAAGCGGCGATTAATATGTACAAGACTGTCTGGCGCAACTTCTCAGAGCTTCTCAGAACTTCTCAGAGGGCAGCTGTCTCCGTACTTTCAGCGAGAATGTGAAATATCGCTTTTTTTACATTCTGAGGTCCCCGTCAGTTCAAAGGAGACGGCGGCTGAGGAATGAGAACGTGTGTGCGTGCGTGTGTACGGCTGAAGGACGAGGTGGGACTCCATTCACTTCTCTCGGTTTGAAGGGATTCAAGGGGGTTACGATGCAAATTCTTGAAGAGTTCCTTATTTGCATTCATAGCAGGGCGTGAAGCCCGCCCCACGAGGGTCCCCGAGCCACCCACCCCCCTTACCCTCACGTTCATCAATATTCTTGTTGAATTGGCTACACCCGTCCCAAGTACTAACGGGTAATGAAATGCGTAGCCTCGTGTGAGGGCCAAGGGTCTCGTGATGTTAGCGCTGTTTTGAGCACCTTTTCCATGTGCCACGTCTTGTGGGTGCGTACGTAAGGTATAAGAGGGGAGGGGAGGGGAGGGGAGGGAGGGACATAAGGACTGATGGGCCGAGAGATGTGCGAATGGATCGAGGGATAGACAAGCGCACACCTGCATGTGCGTGCGCACGCCATTTTTCACATCCTGTCACTACAAAACAGCAGCAAAGATTTTATGTAACATCATTTACCAGACGGGCTCCGTGAACGAGCAAAATTCGAGGCGTAGTTTCAACCTGACAAACCAGACCAATCCTTCGCCAGTTAAGTTGGTCGTACTTTGCAAAAATGCTGAAATCACCACAGGGGGGGGATTGTATCCCCTCTACCCGTTTGATACAGACTACTTTTGTGGATCTTCCAAAATTGTCCATTCAAGAGTGAAATTCCTTCTTTCACGATGGTACGCACATTCCGCTTAATGCATATTTCAGTTTCATCAATATTTAATGATATAAAAAGAAAAATTAATTTGGTTCTTCATTTCAAGTAGCCATTCTATTTCACTAAAATGATTTGAAAGTGTTATCAGCTGTTCCACAAGCTTCAATGTCAGCAAACACCACCTTATAAGCCTGAATATGTCTGTCCGTCTGTACTTTGTTTATTTCAGCTAGTCCCCCATGATGCACCCTAGGGCTTTCCCAAGGGGCAAGAAACCTAGGACTTTGCACCCCAAGTGGTCACCCCTTACCACTAAACCCACCCAGCTTTTCAAAATCAATAGCTTTTGCCCTTGAAAGGCATCCATCATGAGCTGGATGACCAGCAGAGATGCACATGGGGAAACGCTCAGGCATTGCCCCAGCGCGCTTTTTGCACGACGTGCCACTCCCATGGGATTTGTCCGCCACGCTCCATCCATGGTCTTAGCCTAACCCTCCTGTCAGTCTTTCTGGTGAGACGGTGCCGTCATCGGTCACCCTGCTGTCCCATGACTCACATGTTCTGCAGTGTAGAATTTACTTCTGCAGAGACAACGTTAAGTAATGCACGGTGCAAAGATCGCCAAACTGCCTGTGACTTTTCTTACCCATAGAGCACTGACTGTTGAGAGTGGTGGACCGGTGATGCATGTGGGGGCTGTCTGCGGGGTCAAACCCCAGGTTGATTAGAGGCCCATATCCTGAAGCAGAGGAGTGACTGGTGGTGCTGCTGCTACTCCCACCAGAAGAAGAACTGCTCACAGAAATTATAGAATGAGGTCGCTTGTTGCTACGCAAGAGCTCTCCTGACGACACCGTGATTGAGTTGCGGAACCGCGGGGCAGCTGCAACCAAAATTATTATTTAGGTCGGCGTTTCTCAACCTATGTTGTAAGAAAATCAAGAGATGACATTAACATAAATAAGTTTTCCCACAATGCATTTGGTTAGTAGTACATTTAATGTGTCCAATTAGAAAAGGGTGAGAACCCCTGATTTAGATTATCAAGGCATGAAGATGATTTAATCAAGGAATGCCACATAATCTGCAAATATTTGCTAATTTGTGGATGTTCAAGTGCACTGCGCTACTGATTAAGCCTTTAATCGAACCTTTACGACACAACAGAAATACTAAATAAATAATGCTGGTTCGATCATGGAGAAAATTTCTTCGAGACCTAGAGGAAAATGATTTACAAGGTTTTTTCTAACAAAGAAATCAGCAAGTTCAAAATTCTTGACACGATGTTTGCTACAGGAAGTTTAAGAATGACTACAAAGTGACGTGTGTGAACAAGGCTTTCAGCGCACGGCATTGTCTATGCTGAGCTTGAAGAAGGAAGGGGTGAGATTAATAGTGAAATATGTACAGCTGTGAGGAGTTGAGGAGTGTAAGCAGTTCGCAGATAAAAGTGAGCTTTACGAACCATTTCTCAAAATAAATGTCGGGGGGGAAAAATAAGGAAAAATTTTGACATCCTGTATATGCACCAAACAAAATATTTTGGATGTGCCGATCACAGAACATCGACAACTACGGCACTAGCATTCAAATATTTATGACAGAAATAAACATGAAGCAGTGTTCTTCACGATAAGCTGATAGTCAATTAGCTAGTCCAGACATTCCCTACCTCTTACGAAACTCAAATATTCATGAGACGCGGCAACTAGGACCCTATCCAAACCAGAAGAATTCCATTCACACCCGAAGCCATCAAGATCCATTTTAACATCACCCACCAACAATATTTCTGCCTCCACATCATCTCCTTCCGTCGGATCATCCAACAAAATTCATCTAGCAAACGCATTCTACATGTGCCGCTCATCTCACCATCCTTGATCTGATCACCGCTCCAGCCTCCTGATATTTCCTCTTTCTTACGTCCAAATATTCTTTCAACGACCCGTTTTCAAACAACCTTAATCTGTGTTCTTCCCACAAAGTGAAAGACCAAGTTTCAGACCCGTGAGTGCAGACATTGATCATGAACAGAATAAGATGATAAACAAGTTTTAAAGTAAAGAAAGGAAAAGATAATCACAAAAATGGACCGTTCTGTCTTCCGACATCAATCCATACAGCACAAAACTTCAAAGCCCACACTTACTTTTGCTCAGCTGTGCAATGCTGATTGACCTGTCGCTTATTTGATCAGCACTCGGTCTGATGTCTAGGCAGGGTTTGTTTCCAATCCCCATCGAAGACATTTCAGCGAGGCGCATCTCTGAAAAATTCCAATTCAAAATTGATGGACAAGAAAACGAGTAATTAAAATGTACCACGTCATTATTAAAAACCAGGATGTAATTCAAAATTTTGTTGATCAATTAAAATATTTTCAAAATACAACACAGCATTAGATCAACGAATGACGCAAAGTGGCCCTTCTTCTTCTTCTTCTTCCGTTTCTTGACCGTTACTTCGGTCTTCCGGTGCCTGATATTTTCCCGAGGCTTTTTTAGCATTGTGGTTTTTTCCGACGGGTGAGGAGCTGACCCACCGCGTCAACCCCCAACCTGGAGGACCAGGTGATTTTTTTTTTCCGGGGAGTTCTTCCCGTAGCCTTTGAAGAACCAACTTCTGTCACTACAAGGCATTGTGTCTGGTCACAGGGGCTGATTGTGTAAATAAAAGTAAATTTTGATTATTTGAAGAAATTTGATTTCGCTAGAGAACTAAAAACATACCCCTGTTTCTCAGCGCCTGCTTCCAAAGTAATTTCGAGATTTCTTCCGTCCATACTTGTTTAATTTCTTCGGACATGGACTGCAAAGTGAAGGTGTCGTTCGGCTTCCTTTTGCGGAACCAGATTTCAAACTTTGTTGTGCTGTCTCCGATTTTTGCGGTGAGTCCAATGTCCGTCATCTTAATGCTATTCTTGTATATGTACAAATCCAGGTTCTGGAAAGTTAAACAAATTAAACATTTGCCTTCTACTATTTATTAACGTTGAGACTGTGATTACGCAATCTTAAATAATTGTCATGCTCATCAAACATGGGCTAAATTTTGCTATCACTACACAGTATCAAAACAACACAATCATTCAAAATATTTCACGTTACACAGTAAAAACAAAAATACAACCAAAATCATTAATAACCATTTTAAGCAATATTTGTTTCTAATTTCAAACATAAATCCAGCAGAGAAAAGCTTATTTCAATTGTACTAGAAGACAAAATTCAATCACACATAGGAATCATTAATATTTCAACAGTTTGTATAAAATTTTATATAAACGACATCACTTCCGTATCATAGCAGCGCCGATATACCAAAACTTTGGACATAAATCACATTTAACTGAATTTATTTCCTGTAATCTCCTCGTATACCCTTTCCTCCCCTACATGGAGCATAAGGACCTCCTTTTGGAGGTTTCAGATCTACTTTAAGACATTCGGTAGGAACGTCTTGGACGAGCGTTCAGCCCATTGCAAGGCCTCTACCTGTCTGCACAATTTCTACTCATTCCTGATTTGTCTCCTAGAGTCCTCTAGTAGTGAAACAGGAGAGACATGCTCGTAAGGATCTTTTACATGCCATACATCTAGGACATGAGACCGCTGGCTTTACTTCCCCTCCGAAGAAGTTGTTCTATGGATTTTTATCACCCTTAAAAATCCATCGACCTCCGGCGGGTTTGATCCCGCAATCCTTTGGTCCAGTGGTAAGCACGCTACCACTAGGCCACCGAGGGCGACATTTCCGAGAATGTTTATGTTAAAAATGAAACTGAACTAAAACCATGGATTCCTTAAATGTTAAAGGTTACTATGAGACTGTAACCCAGAAAGGGAATAATTATAACATATCGGGTGAGATCCAAATTATAAAACCACATTACAGATAAGATGTTATCATAAAGTGCTTTGTGGAAGGATAAATTTTAATTGAAAATGTTACGGTAGAAATCAGTTCATGTCGTGTGAATTTCTGTGCTCAAGATGTTTTAAATAAGCTTCAAATAAGGATTATTTTAAGTGCAACCAAACTTGTCTATGTAAAACATTTATCTTACATAAATGGCGATCTACTGGATAGTTGATCCATGCAGTATTTTGGATCCAGAAGATCTATATTCACATTGCCCTAAAAACCCTTAAATTTCAATGACCTGCTGTCATATTTGGTGTCAATGTTACAAGCAACATATTTGTATTCATTCACGGAGATGTTTTCAACTGCTGGAAACCTAATATAATACAAAAATAACAAAAACAAATAATCGTAACAAATGTTGCTATAGTTACCTTCCTATCAGGGAATCTCCGAGCTTTACTGAACAAGATTAACTCTTCAAATAGGAAAACATGACGAAGACACTTCTTTCCCTTTCCTTGCCAGACTAGAAATTCATTTTGTCGAAGCAGCCTTCCTTGTTCTTTGACATTTACCTGTTAAAATACAAAACAATAATAAAAGCAGTCGCCAAATACAGCCGGACAGTCTGGAAGCACGACCCGGAGATACAACAGACGAACCCAGATAATCTTACATATGAGACGGCTCAGATAAAAGATTACGTATTCCAGTGGTAAATTCTGAGAAAAAATAATTTTGTTACATCATTCAAATTCAAATTCTGACGCAGAATTTATATTTTCCTCCCATTTTAGGACTGTTTACCTTCTGGAACTTGTAATCATTGGTTGTCCTTCATAATCCTCCCTCCGCTGCATTTCTACGGTGCCTCATAGTTCCTACGATACTCTAATCTCTGACAATGGCCGGTTCATTATACAAAAACCGTGACGGACACTGTCCGTTGTCTTGAGGTATATTTCATAAACATATTTAAGAATACTTACATCACAGTCCCTCAGAGAGTCCATTGCAAGTAGATCATTGCCATGGCGCAGCTGAAATCGGACCATCTGTTCAGCAGCTCTAATGTCAGTCACGTCCACTTCCTTGTCAGGGTACGCCTTCATGAGCTGTTGAAGCAGTAGAGCGTACTTGCCCATTCGCTGCACCGGTTTCAGCAAGTAGCTAGCCAGATCCATCTTGTCTCCCAACTCGACTTGCTTCGTCTGACCAAAACAACACAATTAGACCCATGACCTCGGATTTCCATGGCTGAAGTTAAAATATAACCTCAACTTTCAGAGATAAGCAACGTTTCCATTTCAGCAAAGACTTCAGTTGCCATCTTCAGGGTGAATGTGGGGGACCAGGGGTTAGGAGGCCCTCGTCAAAATCTGGAGATCTGAATATCACTGACGTGACTGGGCAAGCAGAAGAAGTGGTCCCTAAAGTTATTTCATAGCCTCTCTTTGATAGCTCCCCATTAAACGGCATCCTGCTCCCCTCCTTGTCTAATTCCGCAATCACCTTCCACTCATCTGGCATTGCCGTACCTTCACACAGGCTTCCTGTCGTGATTAGTGTTCGGCCACGCACGACTTCCCAGTCCAGGACAAACCTATCTTAATCTGATGTATGAACTCTGTTTAACATTCATTACATTATTACTGAGTATTCTGTCAAAGTACGTCAGTAAATCGGTGTCAATTACTGAACATGAAATCCATTATTCTATCGTTAACTTTACACCTCCTTTTTCTACTACACTGTGAATGGGTGCAAGTGCATGACACCAAAAGAAATTAATATTAATTCTATCATATTAATTAGTCCCGAGCCGTAGCCGCGCGGTCTGAGGCATCACGCTTCGGACCGGCGATACAGAATGCGCGCTGGTTCGAGTCTCAGGGAAAGAAATTTCTCATGAGCTTTCGACCGGTGCCAACCCAGCATCGTGAGGAAATTGGGGAGCGTAATCCGGTCATGAAAACTAGCAATGGCTGGGGGTTCGTCGTGCTGACCACACGTCACTCTGTATCCGGTTGGATGATCGTTCACCTCTGCTTAGGCAAGTGAACGTGAGGCTTTGGCTCTCAGAGGGCTGTTACGCCATGGATTTAATTTTTAATCATATTAATTATGTTATTAAAATAAAATTCTAGCACTGAAAAATGGACGTCATCAGAAGAAAGCAAGAAAACCAATGCACTATATTCAGCAGCCGGAGTGGCAGAAATCCAACTACGAATATCGTCACAGCACCTGCTTTTATTCATCAACTGAATTATTTATTGAAACGCGCATGCATCAAAAGCGAGCGCAAACACATGAAGATCGCAAAATTCTTATGAAGAAGCAGAACATGAAACGCAGACACAGCAGAGGCTGAACAAGATTCCGTCCCTATCACCACTCTGTGAATTAACGTTAAATACGCAGAAATGCATTTGAATTCAAAAAGGCACGGCACACCGGCTCAGAAACATGCGATAGACAAAAAAAAACTATACCTTGAAGAAAGACGTTCCATATTCTGACATCAGTGAATCAGATTTTGGCTTGTTCTTGTTGTAAAGGGCATACAAGTAGAACTTCTTCTCCTGAAATGGTGAAAATTAAAGTGAAGAGTAATCACGAAAGCAATACATTAATATAAAATGGCCTGTCGCAAAACAGATACAAACGAAACAAACGTACTTGACTTCTAACTGGAGGCATGATTCAAATTAAGGATGCTGTAATCTGAACAAATCTAGTGGCAGCTGACAAAGCCGATATAGCAATGTTTTGGCACGTGGACGGATCTAAGCGTAGATAACAAGGCAGCTGCAAGATTTTAGCTATTTGTACATGGAATAAAAAGGACAGGCCCTATTTCGACAGCATCGAACCTTTCTGTGAAAAAAAACAAGATATGAAGCCACCAAACTTCCCATGCTTTATAAACATTCACCGCAAATTTATTGTAAATTTGTTAAAGAAGAGAGAATATTATTTGTTTTTTTTTGTAGGTATACACAAATTTTAGCAGTCGAATAAAGTTCCTAAGAAATAAACTAGTCTAAATCTGTCAAGACAGAAAATAAAATAATCTAACGCAGTGTATTTCAGAGGAAAATGTGAAAATAAACTTACACCGCCAAAGTGTATTCAGTATCTGTGATTTGCAACCAATGTGCCGCTAAAAGGTTTCAGAAATCTCACGAAATTTGACGAGGAACAACATATTCGCACATTATAATTACAAACAGGCAACATTAAGTTTCGTTTTCACGTGCCTGCATTCTTATAGAGAAAGGATTCTATGCGAGGTAAAATTTTGCGGTTTACTGTCATGTCCGACAAATTACGGTGTTCGCAGAACACTGCCCTGCACGCAAGTAACTAACCGATACATTCCCGAGAAGTTGATAAATACTTAATAATGCTCTGCCCTTTATGAAAACTGAAGCTTCATTACTGTGCTCACAAAAACCTGACACTGATCCATATCCCGAGTCTAGTCCACACCCCCATATCCAATTTATTTCAAATTCATTATAATATTATTTGCCCATCCATGCCTCGGACTTCCAAGTGATCTCTTCCTCTCAAGTTTTACGTGCACTTCTCACTGAACCCTTAATTTATTAAGAGACGCACGGCACAATCCGTGTCAAGTTGTTAATTTCCCGCAAGTTTCAACTTTTTCGTCTATGCCCACAAAAGTATATATTAAGGGGTTAATTTAATTTAATTATTTTATTACGGTGAATTTCTCAGCTGGATCATTCTATTTCTAAAATTACACACTTAAAAGCATTCCCCATGAAAAGAAACGAGTTTACGTGCGCTCTTTCTTCATAGGTTACTCACATGACGAAGGAAACACTGGCCGACGAGGTGTGGGCTGTTCTCACATTTCTCCAGTTCTTGTAAGAAATACTGACTATGGAATTCATAAATCTTTTCCACATTACCAAAAATAACATTACGTTGCCCTCGGAGAGCCTGAGGAATATCTTCCCTCAACAGCTCAGGAATGTAATTCTGAAAAAAATTCAAGAGCAGAACATTTCATTACAACCAAAAATGTGGTACAATTAACCTGTTCAGTGGACGCATACTGACAGTGCTTTCAAACTCCGTGCCTGCTAAGGGCCTTTGTTCTGGGGGGCCATCGCCGGTAAAATCGCAACAGCCTACGTTTACTACAAAATTCCGATCTTAAGCTTAAGATATACTTTTCATTCCTCCATTTTCTCACAAGCACAAACAAATGTGAATCTCACTGAAATTCATTTCGTCTTTATCGAACTTAAACATGAAGCAGCTGTGCGGCAGCACACAACAAGTAGCTATTTGACGCGCCTCGGAAACTTGACATTTCGGACATTTGATAACTCAGTCGGGCCACGAGTTTTACGTGCCCGGTGAAAATATAAAAAGAGTAATTGCTTTAATTATGACTCAGGCTGATGAAGGTTATAAAAGTGTAAAATGCTGCCTTATGTAATCAATATTATTGTTTAAGTATGAAAAGCTATTACTAGTTAGGACCCGGGCGCAAACGGAGCCACTAGTGGCTAAACACGACCACTAGTGGTCGCCACTTTATGCAGACGTTTGCGCGGGATAAACAGTGGTCGGAGGCAGCCACAAGTAGCGAGACACGGCCACTATCGCAGCGAGTGACCCGGTCGAGCCACTACGAACGCCGTGTCTGCGCTGAGTCTATTAAAACTCCATACAAAATACAGTCCGCAGCTTGTGGCGGCCACAAGTGGCTCTGTTTGCGCCTGGCCTAAAATGACTTTGTTGTGTGTAATGCATTAGTGCAACGACGACGTACGTGCTGTGGCATGATGAACTGCTTCGGAATGTTGGCATAATCTAAAACAGAGCACAGTGCACCTTTCCAGTCTTACTTTTGTAGAGTATTGTGTTGTATTGTATCCGCCCCCCCAAACACACACAAAATGGCCACGGGCTCATGCATGCCTCAAAAGTCCGAGGCAATTTGATACAACAAAATATCACACTACAATTTATTAAAACATGCTAAGAATTACCTCGATTATGTACTCCAAGGACTTCACATAATCCCGTTCTGTCTGAACCATCTCCCTCATTATTAACAGGAAAGTCCTGGAAAAAAAAATAGTTACTACTTATTTCACTATCAAAACTTTAACTTCAATTAAATTAATTTCTTAGGATTTTCTCGGAATGCTCCTCATACACAATTAAAAAAAGCATAGATTTGTAACATTCCTTACTCAATCAGAATCCACTATTCATCCTAAAATCTACAAAACCACATTTGTATTCAGAAACGTGACGGTTGACAGCATAAACTCCCATCTAATCATAAAGACTAGAATTCTACCAGAATTTAATGTTATTTACATCTGAATACAGTCGAACCCTGATACAACGTCCCTCTATATACCACCACCACTGCATTGTGCCCATAAAAGCTTAAGAATAGAAATTCCCTGCGTAATTTCAAAATGAATTCCATGCTGAAGTATCACTTCTACTACATCTGGAAAGACAAATGTACCATTAAGCATTTTAATCAATTTCAGTTCAAGTGCCATTTCATTTCCACCAGCTACGCCGACAACTCCCTCACATTTGGTTTCAAAAATTCCGTACACCAACAACAGCATTTACAAACAAGACCTACTCGGGTAAGAAACCACATACGAGTATAGCGTCTTGGGAAAAGTTTCGGTTGTTACTTGGGATCTGTGATGTAACTGGTGACATTTAAAATCCATGTATTAACAGTGGGGTCCGCAGTGGCCGCGCTGTCTGAGGCGTGGGCCTTGTGCCGCTTGGTCGCTGGGACCGTGGGTTCGAATCCCACTCAAGCCACGGATGTTTGTCCGCGTCTTTCTGTGTCGTGCTGTCCCATGCACAGGTAGAGGCCTTGCGACGGGACGATCCCTCGTCCAAGGAGTCCTATCGAATGTCTATAGATCAAGCCAGTGCTCAGGCACATGAAGAACGGGTCGTTCACATTATCCCCAGTATTAACAGTAAATGAGCCTGCTACTGTGATGAGCATCGCCAAGAGCAATTTGCATACAGCAGGACTGGCAGATAAAATTCCAGGAATTCTGGTAGAACAGTTACAGAACCACATATGTTTCTGCTGTTTGACAGGGTTTGAAAGTGTTTTCTGTACGCTGACATACAGTCTGGGACATGGGAAAAGGAGCAACATTGAAGTATAAGTGAAAAAAGACGTGTGACCTGGCTGCAACCAACAGTAAACGCAAAGATGACCCAAGAGCTGGCGAAAAGGATGTTTAAATGTGAGAACTTTGAATACAATTTGATCAGTAATGATATAATAATTATTATTAACTTAAAAAACAATAAGATCCGAACCCACATACACCCTGTGGTTAAAGCTGAATAACATTGGTTAATGATTGCTTGCTCAGGATAAATGACCATTAAAATAACTGAGAAGCACTCACTTTTGTGTTTTGAGTTCCTTGCTCCCTGGGGCTGTCGCAGCTAGATCCAGCTTTGACGCACAGCAGTGCAGATGGCTATTGACTGTGACTGGAGGCACTGGCTTGTTGACGACACCAGAACCATCTTGTTCTTCAAGATCTTCACCACTGAAATTACACCCCATTTATGTGTGTGCAATGAGAAATACAGGAGACAGCAGTTGCCTGGCCATAAGAGATGGAAGAACAGCTACTGGTACGCTCCTGGGTAAGACGGTAACAGACCAATCAAATGTTTAGAATCCTGAATACTGCCCTAAACAAATCATACCCACAGGAGAGCAATATGGACATTGGTAGAACGCCTTGCATGAGTGATCAGCCCTATCTGCAAGGCTTCTACCTATGCAAACACAGAGAGACGCGGACGAACATCGATGCCCTGAGTGGGACTCGAACCCACGGTCACGGCGGCCAGGCGCACGAGGTCCGTGCCTCAGACCGCGTGGTCACTGCGCCGGCAATACTTGGAACAATGAATAATTAAATAACTAATACATTACACCGGCCCTCCTTTTGAAGCTGACACTAACCGAGTTGGTTATTAAATTGTATGTAATTTATGGAACCCCGAGGTTCATTACCATATTCACAAAAGCCTACCATTAGGTAACCATGCTGAATTACTTGAACCTAATCCACGCCCTTACACCCTATGTCTTAGATACATTATCACCTATTTTACGCTTATTTTTCCAAATTTTATATTCCCTTCAAAGTTCCCGACTAAAATTTTATATATATTTATCTTCTCCCATTCTCATCCATCTTGATTTGATAACGCTAATGGAATGGAATTATAACTTTGGGTCCGCCGTTCTTCTACATAAGGGAATCATATCAGCGATTAAGAGGCCAGGAACATATTAATTAAAACACTCGGACAGATCCAATCCGCGAAATGAAGAAATATGCACATTTACAGGCACTGCAAACTTTCTCAGAAATGGTCGGCAATGTTTTGGGGGGCTATGTCTACCCCTGCAATATGCTTTCCGACTAATATATCGCCCATTCACGTTTATCGGCTGTGTTTTCGTGTCATACACGTGGCCGAGCTGAATGTGTCACAGAAAACGTCAGCATAGCTCGACTCCTAGCCAAGATGTGAAATGAAGACGTCCTGAATACGAAGCATTACGATAATGTCTAAATTCGGTCCATCTTTATCTTAGCATGTGTACAATGTGGACAATTCCTGCCTTTGGAAATGATTTCCAGGAAGATGTATGTACTTCAGCTGCAAAACTGATAAAATATTACCACTAATAAAATTACTGCCAGAATGAGACGGCATTCTCATTCGTGTACGTAAATCGGATCGGTGCGGATTAAAACAATTTTAGCGAGAGCAGACACGCGTGCATATAAACGCATGTAGGTTTTCTCATCAATCAATCTTATATTACTTCCCATCGCACTCCACGCTGATCGCTTAATGCGTTCAAAACGTGCAATCAACCTCAGGACGCTTGCAGGTTTCCCAAGTAATAAAACAATACTGGGTCCTTAAAACAGGTATCTTTTGACCCTCAGGACGCTTGCAGGTTTCCCAAGTGACAAAACAATATTGGGTCCTTAAAACAGGTATCTTTTGATGCCCCAGCTCTCTAGGGCAATTATAATTTTGTCAACTCATTCAAAGAAATAAATCAGTTTCACAGACATTTCAATCTCGGAGCCTCTGAAACTGAAGCTGAGCATGTGAATGGATAACAACATCACGTAATTATGTATGTGACAGCATAAAATTTTATGTCTTTGCCCTTTAAGTACAAGTTGTGCGGAGGTGAGGTATGGTACAAAGCCATTCACATATAAAACCAAAATTCATAATCAGCTGAAAACAGCATCACACCTTGAATAAATCATATTAACATTAATATTTCCAGCGAACAACACGGCAGTGGACATAGACAACTTTTAGTACAAGCGACACAGAAACACAGGGAAGCAAACAACCGAATGAAAGGATTTTATAAGATGAATATTTATTTATTTTTTATTTAGTGTTCTGTCTGACGACAGGTCCATATGAACAGGATCCTTCCATCCTTTTCTCGGACTGGGACCTGTTCATATACGTTCTTGGCAGATGATCCAGAAGTGCTTTGCCATTGCCTTCTTCTGTGTGTGAATGGAGTAATTGTTGGGATGCCACGGAGGAAAACTCCGTGTTGCCTAGACCACGGCCTTGCCCAACACAAGTTATAAATTCGGGCACCGCCGGGAATCGAACCCGAGACCCCAGGATTACAAGGCGAGCGTTCTAACCGCTAGACCACCGTGGCTGTAAGATAAATACAACAAAATAAAGTTGGTTCATTCCAGACTCAATAAAAAAATAACTGAGTCAAAAAGGGATCACAGTCTGAAATAATGACAGCTAAACCATGATGGGGACACTTACAAATGCTTTGTATTTGGGATGTTACTCCGAGTAAAATAAAATTAATTCTTATTAGTCTAATCTGAGAAGTATCCCTGCAATGAAACACAGAAGTTAGTCACCTTCCACATTTTCCAACGTTACCGAGAAGATTCAACCTGCTATTTACCTTTTAGTGAAGCCGTCGCTGCCCTCAGTAGTGTTGTCTCCAGAATTGTCAGTGGCGTAATCATACTTATGGTCATCACTAGCGCCGCAGAGTCTGGTACCACTGTCACTACCCACACTACCGCCATTACATGACGGATCTTCGTCGTCAAAGTTCTCGGTGGGATACTGCCACGTGCAGGAACGACGCAGGTGCCTCTTATAAATCTGCCGTGCTCCGTTGCCATCGCACCTCTGGTCCAAAGCAGACGGATTACCGCACCTCACACAGACGTCGTCTTCGTCCTTTCCCAAGGCAAGACCATCGCTGTCCAAAAGGTCCTCGGCACTTTCGCGCACTTCCTGAATGTTCCCCAAATTGTTCGGCCTGGGTCCTGAACCGTTACAACAGCAGTCCTGCGACTCCTCCAGCACCGAGGACGGCACGGGGTCCCAACACGAACACGCGTGTCCTGCCGCGTCGTGGTTGCACTTGTAGATGTATGGGAACGAGCCTACCGAGCGTCGGCGTCCTACGCCGACGCTGCCGGCCGGAGTGCTTGTGACTACCCCAGATGTGTTCCACCCTTGATGGATTGATTTTGGGCTCAGAGGCCTGATACAAGATCTATCCAAGCTGCTACAGAAACTTTCATCTCTGTCATATACGCCCTGCTGCCGCCTCGCCTGCACCAACCGCGACTGCTGCGCTTGGATCAGCTCCATTGTTTCTTGGCACCTGGCTTGAGCCACCTGAAACAAAATCCTGGCTTAATTAGAGGCAGACATTTATTTCAAGGACACAAAAAAAGGCCAATTAAAAATAACAAAATTATTTCATGTGCTTTACAAATTTTTCCTTCAGTAACCAAAATAACAGAATATTCTGTTCTACCAGGATCGTACGTTACATTAGGCAATGACCAAGTATTACCAACGTTTCAGAGGTCATACTGCCTCCATCATCAGGGTGATGACAGAGGCAGTAATACCTCTGAAACGTTGGTAAACATCTACCATACTACATGGCGCAAAAACCCAGAAGACGATAATCTTCTGATGGCCACTTCTTTGAATATCCCCTCCAATTCATAATTCACTATTGCCCTCTCATTTGATGACATATAGTTTGAGCTACTAAAACTTTCATTAAATAAACTATAAATAAATAAAACTCATCTGTTCTGATATATTTATTAGTCAAAAAAGTAAGAGAATGATAAGAGATACTCAGACAAGTAACAAACAAATTTATAACTGAGGACAACTTTGCTTGTCTGAACAGTAATTGTTTCAAAAAATTTCCACTTGACGCTCAAATATCTGTCCAAATTAGGGCTCGCAATGTGAATTCATGGTACGTGACCTCATTTTCATAAACTAAAAGACTGAAATAAAACAATACTCAAAATATGGCAGACTGTTCGCAGTAGAAAGGAAAACATGCCGGACTATAGAAAGAGATGACTTAAAAAAATTTTCTGAACACGCAGTTAACCATTCCTCATCAGCTTTAATAAGTCCTGTGTTTTTTAATGTGAGATCCAAGGTTCTCGTGGTGGTGACGATGTCGATGCTGGTCTTCCGAGTTGTGATGCCACGTAGACTCGTCGATAGATAGCAACATTTTGGAGAAACATACTGCTTCCATCTTCAACCTTAAAAATGCTGGTACGTATTGATGAGTCAACATAACATTGCAACCCAAAACATCATTATCTACATTTTCTTTTTTTAATAAATACAAGACAGTCATTGCGGAAGTAGACAAGCCCAAACGACGTGAAGACACCCATTTGTGATATCTTCCACTGAAATGTTGGTGACGGTCTACAACATGACACAGGAACACAATCAAGAAGACGACGACATCAAATCTCGGGTGAGGAATGAGCATACAAACAAAATTCAAACTTAATCTCCTTTTGACGAGCAAAGGTTTGCTGACCTTCGCTTGCTCCATCAACTTTTCATTGCCCAATCTGCGAGCCAGCTGCATCATCTCCGTGAAGTGGTCCTCGGCAATGGGCGGGTGAGCCATCAGGTACTGTTGGAGATGCTTCATCACCTGCAGAGTTTGTACAGGCGACTGCGTGTCGTCTGCCTTCACCCGGGACATGTACTTCGACATCTCCAGAGCCCACTCATAAGCCTGCAACAGATCGAGGGTAAGCACAGGACTTGCAAGAGATGCAGAATTCTGTTCCTCCTGCATTGATTTTGTGATTCAGTTAATAACTGTCGGCGTTTGAAAACAAAGTGCGAAGGAGAATATACAGACCGAAGGGAGAGTAAGAGGAAGATGGAGAAAACAATAAGCAGCCTCGCAATTTGTGCTCTTCATTAAATATCACCATGGTGATCAAATAAAGGAAGACGTAGCACGAATAAGGCAGGCTTAAGTCAGAAAATCGGCGAGATAAGAGACAGAATGGAAGATGCAGGACTTTGATACGTGGGGAATCCATAAAGTAAGGGCAACGTTGGAATATTTTCACTGTATAATTGCTAACACTCCAGAGGATCGCCATAATGTAGTTCAAGGTCAGACAGTGACATGCTGCAAGTGCGGTTCATTTTTTAGTCCACTGAGCCGAATGAGCTTGGTGTAAAGGTTTTTAGACAAGGATGAGAAACATTAATGCCCAGTCTTGCAGCGCCTTCCACAAAAGCTTGAAAACACTCCATTTTTTTTTAAGGATTGTGAATGGGGGTCCTCGCCTGTCTGCATCAGTAA